GGTCTAGACCCGAAACGACAGCTTTCCTGCTCCTCTGATGCTGCTTGGCCTGCTGTGTTCATCCAGCTCTACACCTTGTTATCTCAGATTCTCCAGCATCTGCAGTTCCTACTATCTCTAAATAGAGTTCCTGTTTGTTTTAGTGGCAGTGTTGATAAAATGTAGGACTTGTTCTGTGTAAAATTCTGTAGCCATATGTTCAACATTTATGTTTCTATCTTGCTTCTTCAGAACATAATTATGTCAAGTGCAGCAGAAAGGGTAAGATTGATTTCTTTTCAACGTGTGTCTTCAATCATACATTTTATTTACAACTTTGCTTCTTTTATCTCTGTCTCCTACCAGAGCAATGACATCTTCTACAGTAATTTTATTAATAAGCCCACCAGAAGCTGTGTAGTTAGATCAACTGATTAAAATAGAAGATATTGCAGTGTTTAAAAGACTGTTTGTTTGAATCATTTTCAAGAGAAAAACACACATTTTGAGCAACTAAAACAATGGCAATAATTCTGAAGCTAATACTATTGCATAGTTGTGTTGTATGGTTAATAATTTCAAATACTTGATATGCACTGGAACAGCACCATAGCAAAGACAACTGCAGAAGATTTTTAAGAGACAATCAGATGGCCAAATACAGTAATTTAGGATGTTCACATGCTGTTGTTGGATTCTAATTCAGTAATATGTGCAACTTCATGTTGTAACTATAGCTATCAATATGTTTGTATGGTGAAATTAGTATGGATTTAAAAGAAATTGTTAATTTGGTGCAAGAGCAGAGGTATTTACAATTCAATTAACTTGGACCAAAATTTCAGTTTAATATTTGAATATTAAGTGACACCATTGCATTCTTCACATCCCTCACTATATTGAATCGAATTGAATTAGCTTTATTGTCACATACTCACATGAGTACAGTGAAAAGTTTACAAGTTGCCACTTACAGTGCCACCTTAGGTACAAAGGTACCTGGGTACAGATTCTTGAGTACAAATTCTTGGGATGGGGAGAAAAATTAAGAAAATAAATAAAACGAATAACAGTCCTTCCACGATAATATAATTTAAGAAAAAAAACATTTTTTTAAAGAGAATTTAAGACAAAGTCCACTTAATCCATTTAACCGCTCTGGGCTCAAGGACCTGACCTGCCTGTTGGAATCCCGGGCCAGACCCACCACAATACCAGGAGAAAACACTGCATGGAGTCACAGGCTTGCTGAAGCTGCCAAAAGGAGACCCAGACCAATACCAATGAAAACTGCCAGAAGGAATCCCAGGCTAGGCCAGACCAACCATGCCGCCTTGAAGATGTTGCAGACGCCCCAAGGAAACCCGGGCCTTTGAAATCGCAGGCTCAGACCCACCTCGTCTTCAGCGCTCGCCAAAGCAGCCCAGTCGAAGGACCCCCCCCCCCCCCCCCCAGGACACGGGCACGAAGAACGGCCGGATCCATACCGCTTTCTCCGCTTTAGCCTCCTGGAACCACCTCCCTCACCCAAAGCTGCTAAAAGAAGATAAGATGAACTTTGTTAGGAAAAAATCATTTTAAAATGTTGGGGAGGAAGAAAAGAAGAAAAGAGCGGTAGGCCTGATGATAAACAGACAGGCCAGGAGCCCAAATACTTCCTACTATGTTGAAATTAGAACTCATTGTAGTCTCCTATTGTAACTAATCCTTTTCCAAAACCCCTCTCAAAATGTTTTATTGCCTTGGATTCTGTCTCCATTTACAAACTGTTGCAACATAGCATATACCAGCTTCACGATCACTGAATTTGCAGCACAGTGATTTTAAAACATTCAGTGACTCTCAGAATTGCTCAGTTGTTCCTAACCAGACTTTAGAAATAACGGAAACAAATTGCTGGAAAAACTGAGCAGGTATGGCAGCATCTATGGAGAGAAAGCAGAGTTAATGTTTCAGGTCCAGTGACCCTTCTTCAGAGGTCACTGGTCTCAAATTATTAACACTAACCAAAACATCAAAGAAAATTTTGTATTTACAGGATGGAAGCCGTGGAATAGTGACTTTGTACACTTTTCACTGTATACCTGTGTTCCTGTACTTGAGTGCACGTGACAAAATCTAAATCTAACCTAAATCATGACTCTGAAAGCTTCGACTTTCTCAGTCTTTTTAACAATCTACAGGTTTCTAACCATACACTCTGTTCTGGATGCTTCACAAGCTAATCTAGGGTATCCATGCTTTTTCTGACTGTCATACATTGAATTGTCTGTAGTAATAATAATCAATACCCATATGCTACCTGAAATGTTAACAAATATAAATCACGCACCTTTTAATGACCAGCTGGATATCCAAATTGTACTGTTTAATTATAATGCCACATGAATTGTCCTGGCAAATAACTCAGTTATAAGATTAATTGCTGAAAAGAGGTTTTCTACCACTGTTGGGGTAAATAGGGATGGACAATAAATGTGGTTTTTGCCAATGTTTCCCGAATACTGCCAATCAAAACAATATGGCCAACTTGGGGAAAGCTACCCAGGATAGATATCATTGTGAAGTGTACAAAATGTTTAAGATGCCAAAATTGGATTTTTAAAACTTTTTTTTAAAAAGGCTATTGATTTTTTTTTTTTCCTTTTTACAGCCTTTGGAACTGAGAGGTCCTTATGATATTGCTAACCTGTATCCTTGGCCAAATATGTTTGGCGTGGAAAATACTTATGCACTGAGTCTATTCTTTATACTTTTTATCTGTGCTCAGTTTTCTAACAAAGCAAAGGTGGCTTTTTACATCAATATTTTGCATCAGTAATGTTTATAAGTACATAAAACACTGGAGAAAGTGTGAAGAAAATATCTTGAGTGAAGATTCTTTATCATGTCAGGTACATTTTAGTCATAAAATGTTTTGATGAATAGTGTTTGTGATTTGTATGGCACTTTTCACTCTGGATATCCCATAGCTCTCAGAGCTCAACTTTGTGCATTACACTTGTTTATTTTCATTGTTTTATGAGTGATGTCCTGCAACTGCAGTGAGTTGAATAAATGATTATTTATCCTACCTTTTATGAAGGTATGGATAGAAAGGAGTATTTGCCATAACACTGCAGGATCTTTTCTCCAATGATTAGTCCGCTGAGTAGGTAGGTAAGATTTTCATTTGGCTATTCATTGAAAAGAGCAACTCCCATCAGTGCAGAATTTCATCAACACTGCTATAAAATGTAGCCTAACTTGTGGACAGAAGCCTAATATTGGGGTTGAACCATGGCCTCCTTGCCCACAAGACTGCTATTAATTGGATGAAGTGACAAATTATATATAATTGAAAGTCAAGAAAAGGTTTAATAAATAATGTCCTTTTTCCCCCCACTCGGAACTAAATTCCACCCTTCCGTTATTATAGATTGGCCCTTGACAGCCATGATCTAACATTAATGATATTCCGTGACCCATTGATCCAGTCTTAATCTTGAGTCCATATAAGGTCTTGCTCTGAAAGCTTCATAATAAATATTTGTGCTTTGCATTATTTCCATGCACTGAGAATCTATAGGAAAATAGCTGGTGAAATAATTTGGTTGTCTTCAATAAGATCACAGTGATCTCTTTTTAAGGATGCAGTAATATAATGCATATGACGTCTCTATCTAAAACCAGGAAGGATATTGTTATGACAGTAAAGATGTTAACAAGACCTAACTTGCAAGTATAATTTACATTAAATAGTAGAATTTTATAATGATAATACTGTAGCTAGTTTTTAAGAAAACATTTTTGCTGTTCTATAAAGTTATAATCCTTGACGAAGGTATTGCAAGTGGATTGCTTTTTGGCTTATCAGAAGGAGATGCCAAAGCAGCTGTGTCAACCAATTGCCGAGCAGTCCTTTTGCATGGAGGTAAGTAATGTATCAAAAACAGTCATTTAATATTGTCATTACATTTTAGAAAATTTGATTAGTGCTTTTCTCCTTATCTGTTATATTTACTGAATGTGGGACTGCAAAGCTTTATAGAGTGTGTTCTGGTTAACAAGGTCATCAGAACTTCAGAATAAGTGATGTCTATAGTGCAATTTGTTATCAAGGACAGTCATGTAAGAAAATAAGATTACAAGCTCATCATATGCAGAATTAGAGATGATCCTATATCCTACAGTCTGACATGATATTAAATAAAGCAGTATATTACCTTGCACTGGTTTGATGTGAAAACTAGGACTTCAGTCTAATAATTTGTCCCAAGGTTTTGTGGTCTGACAAAAGCCCATCTTGTGCTAACTGCAATCTAAAAATGGATGATAACCTAATATTTACATGATGTGATGAGAAAACTGTACAATTTTCTACCAGGTGATAAGTTTTTTTTTAAAAATTGCTTTCTGTAATACTATAATTAACAGGAGTGGATGCCGTAGTGAAGAATTGGGTGAAGACCCTCTTGTGTTCCTGTAAGCATTATATGAATGAATTCACTTCTATCTAAACTTTGAATTGTGTTTCAATACAGAAACCAGAAAGACTGCATTAGGTGTGATCTGTACAGTGAGGAAAGTTCCAGCAATTGAAGAGAAGGATGAAGAAAGACCTCTTTCCAAACGAGCCAAGACCAAAAGTGACTGACAATGAAAAAACATCATTGTCGGATTTCAAAGTTTGCAAGCTTGTACACCTTTTTTTGTAAATAATGCTGTTGAAATAGGGCTGTGTTCTTTAAATTGTACTTTTGTAATTACCACTTCACATTTTATTCCATCAGCAGTGATTTTGAATGCACAAAATTAAGTTCTGCAGCACATTTTGTTCCACTAACACATGTTTAAAATCTTTAAAATCTAACTTTTCACATTGTGAGAAAATGATTTTCAAAGATGCTAGTGAGTACGAGTTCAGACCGTGGATATCCTTCAATGAATATTACAACTGACGTAGTTCTTATCCATTGTGCTAGGTTTTATTAAATTTTTTTAAGACTCAGTAAGACTAACAATCAACATTGATTTTCATTTATGCCTGTAGTGCACAACAAATATTGTCTGTTTTCCTAGACAATATGTTTATCTGAATCTTATTTATCATACAATCCTAATAAACTATTGTGTGAATCAGTAGATGGTGTCATACCCGTTTCTATTCAAATAATAGCCTTAACCTATGGGTCCTGCATTGTAGACCTGCAGTAGGTTACAGGAAGTTGTTCTAATCTAAAAGACAATGCATTTTCTGTATTTGCATATTCTTTCCATTGTATCATAATGAGCATCTTCAATTAAGCCAATGCTTGCCCATGCCTTAAAGTTTTCTGAAAATATGGAGAGTGAAGGGGATTGATGATCTTATTTTTGTCGGGGAGGTGATGTGAAAGGAGGAGAAAGCCAAAGGTGGAGGTTCCTCATGCAGGCACTTTGATCCAGGAGATAATTGTAAAGGCATTCAAGTTCTCATTTCTGTCAAGTTATCTGGTTTTCCAATGATCATGTGAGATGGTACATTAAGGAAAGTTGGGCGGGGGGGTTGTAAATGAGTCCAAATCAAATAGAGAAGCATGGCGTTCTATGGTGTACATACATAATTGACAAAGTAGCAGTGCAGGTTAGTAAGGCCAGTATTAACAAAGAGGAAAAAAAAATGGGTACGCTTCTGGAGCGATAGAGAATTGAAAAGTGATGTCAAGCTTGTATAGACCCTCGGGTTGGCTATGTTTGAAGTACTGAATGTTTGGATTTCATACAATGAAAGAGGATATGTATAGACACTGGAGAAGGTACAGTAAAAGATTTACTGCAATGATATCAGAACTGAAAGTCTATTACTATAAGGAAAGATTGAACATGCTGGGACTTGCTTAACCAATTACATTATCATCTTCACAACATACTTTCTTACCTATCTTTGCTTCATCTGTAAATTTAACCAACGAGCCTTCAAACCCCTAATTTCATTTCTTCTTGTAAATTGTAAACAATTGAGAGCCCAGTATCGTACCCTGTGAAACCCCATTTGTTACATCCTGCTGATTTTTAAAAAAAGACTCATTTATAGATATTGTTTTCTTCCAGTCAATCTATTTTCTATTTAAGTCGGTATGTCACTCCAAATTCACAAGCTCTTAATTGTCCCATGACCTTTTATGTGTAACCTTGTCAAATACCTTCAGGGAATCAACAAGCTCCATTTTTAATCCACAGTGCATGTTATTCCTTCAAAGAATTCCAATAAATTGGTTAAATAGGATTTCCCTTTCACAAAACTATGTTGACTCTTCCTGATTATTTTGTATGTTTCCAAGTGCCTAGTTACAACCTCCATGATTGATCTGAACAGCTTCCCCACAACAGTTGTCAAGCTAGCTGGCCTTTAGTTTCCCATTTTCAGCGTCAATCCTTTCTTGCTATTTTCCAGTAAAATAACACCTTTGTAGAATCTCATCGGTTTTGGAAAATTAACACTAACACATCTTCTAACTCATTAGCCACCTTTTCTTTATAAAGACTTTAGGATGCTGTCCATCAGGACCTGGAAACTTCTCAACCTGCAGTTCGATCAGCTTGTTTAGTACTGCTTCCCTGGTGATTAGAATTTCACAAGTTTCAGTCTTCCATCAACCTCTTGATCTATAAGTATTACTGGGATTTTTTTTGTACACAATAGTGAAGACCGAAGCAAAATATTTATTTATTGCCTTTTTTAATAATTTATTTACTGATAACTCCCCATTCTCAACCGCTGGAAGACCATGTCTCTAATTACTTACTCTTTTCCTTTCTATTGAAAGAATGTAATGGAAATTCTTGCCAACTACTTTCACATTTCTAGCTAGCTTCCTCCATGCTCTATGCATCTTGATTAACCTTTTTAGACATTCTCTACCACTGTTCATATTCTGACCTGTCATTTGACCTGCCTCTCTCCTTTGTACAATTAAATGCTTTTCCCTTAAGCTTGTTGTTGTTCTTGAGTTCTTTAATTAACCACACATGGTGCCTTCTCCCCTTTTTAATTTTCCTTTGTAGTACAAATGTACTTACCTTGAGCATCCTGAAATATCCCTTTAAATGCCTACTACTGTTTTTCTACTGATCTATCTGCCAGCTTAATATCGCAGTCACTTTGGTCACTAATTTTCATTACCACATAGTGATCCTTTTTCAAATTTTGAAATCTAGTTTTAGACCCACACTTCTCCCATTCAAACTGCATGTAAAATTCAAATGTGTTGTGGTTGCTGTGTTGTCTTGAAGAGCATGCATTACTCATGCCACATTACACAATACCAGCTCTGATATAGCCAGTGCCCAACTAACCAGAACCCACTTCTCCCAGACCAATCTTTGAGTCTTGCAGTCACTTCACTAACCTCATTCATCCTGTGCCAATTTGTACATGGCTCAGGCAATAATCTGGAGATTGCTATGTTCTAAATTAAAAAGTAGAACCTCAAAACTAACTTCATACTCACTGAGCAGAGCCTCTTGCTTTGTTCTACCAGTGCCAATGATAGCAACATGCATTGGGAAGGAGAGGATCCAGTAGTGCTGATCCAGGTTGCTCTCCAACTGTGACCAGATATCCTGAATTCTTGCCACTGGGTAGACAACACAGCCATCTGGACTTGCACTGTTTGCTGGAAGGAACTGTGTCAGCCCTCCTCACTATAGTGTACCCTACAACCATGACATTCCCCTTCTCATTTCCCCAATGTGAATGGCTTCCTGTACCAAGGTACAACGGTCAGCTAGCTCATCTATGCTGACACCACTTTCATCCAAACGTGCTGAGAAATCCACAAACTTGTTGGACAGATGGAAAAGCTAAGGCTCCAATGTCCCATCGTCTGGATCACCTTACCTTTCTGTCTTTTGCCTCTTCAGGAAGGTGTAAGTGCAAGTTTAGAAGGTAAGAAGCAAAAGTGAAAGGTAGAAAAGATGACCACAAAGATATATGGGCCTTTGGTGCACATTAAAGCTAAGATGACTAACAAGGTTACAAAGACAAGTCTAAAAGCTTTATGTCTTAATGTGTGGTGCATTTACAACAAGGAAGATGAGTGAGCACAAATAGATGCAACTTTACGATAACTGTTTGTAATTACAAAGACATGGCTATAAGGTTACCAAGAATGAGACCTGAACGTTCAGTGGTATTCCTTATTTAGAAAGGACAGATGTAAAGTGAAAGGAGGTAGGACAGTCTTGTTAGTAAAAGATCAAAACAATGCGGTAGTGAGGAACGATGCTGTGGAATCTGTACAGATGGAGATAAGGATCACTAAGTGGCAGAAAACACTGGTGATTGTAAGTCGCTAAGCAGTTGTGGAGATATAAGGGAAGGCATTAACAAGAAATCAGTTGTATGCAAAAACTATAACTGTAATCATGAATTATTTTAATTTATAAATAACAATGGCATTGTGTAGGTAGATTTTCTGGAGTGTGTCTGATCGTGTGTTAGACAAATACATTGAGAAAGGTTTCTGAAGAAGGGTCTAGGCCTGAAACATCAGCTTTCCTGCTCCTCTGATGCTGCTTGGCCTGCTGTGTTCATCCAGCTCTACACCTTGCTATCTCAGATTCTCCAGCATCTGCAGTTCCTACTATCAATGAAGTAGTCAAATCTGGTCCTGAATCTAAATGAGGGATGGTACAAGGTGCAAATTGGCAAGAATGGATTGGGAACTTTGCCTAATCACCATTAACCCCATTCATATTTAAAGAACATGTGTGTGAATTGTAACAATTACTCATTCCAGTCTAGTCAATGTAAGAAGGCAGGTGCAGCAAGCATTTAGGAAGCTATGGTGTATTGGCCATCATTGCACAAAGATCTGAATTCAGAAGTGGTGATGTCTTACTGCAGTTATACAGGGCCTTGATGAGGCAACTGGAATATTGTGTGCTGTTTTCGTCTTCCTACCTAAGAATCTGCTTGCTATACAGAGAGCGCAGCACAGGTTCACCAGGCATTACCGGTGAGGAGAGATTGGCTCGACTGGGCCTGTATTCATTAGAGTTTAGAAGCATGAGAGGTGATCTGCTTGAAACATATAAAATTCTAACGAGGCTGGATGGACCAGATTCAGGGAGAAGGTTTTCCCTGATGGAGAACTTGGGGACACCGTGTCAGGGTAGACCATTTAGGACTAAGGGCAAATATTTCTTCACTTAAATGTAGTAAAAATGTGGAATTTTCTACCACAGAAAGCTGTAGAGGCCAAGTCACTGAATATATTGAAAGGATAGATAAATGTTTAGATTTTTTAAAGGCATCTAGGAGTGTGGAGAGAAAGTGGGAATATGGCACTGAGATAAAGAATCAACCGTGGACACATTGAATGGCAGAGCAGGCAAGAAGGGCCAAACGGCTATGAGCACTGCACCACAAGAGCCCTAAAATTTGGAACTCAGATCTAACCTTCCAGCTTAATTAATAATCTCTTTCATGGTTGTTATAATAATTAGCTAGCCAGTTATTTTAATCTTTGCTGTGCCACATACTGAATTGGCAACTTTAACCCTACAGCAGAAAATTGGTGGGCTCTTTGAATTGCTTAATTGCACCTGCCTATTAGGTAGCATTGATATGTCAATGGCCAACAATTTTTGTATCCTTTATCTTCACAAATGACAGATAGTGACGTGAATAAAGATAATTATTAGATATTTGAAATGATTTTAAAAAGTCTCAATCCATATTTTATAATTTTTTATTTTTGTTCTTTGTATCATATTGTCTTCAGTGTTTTCTAAGAAAATCTCAAAAATCCAAAACAGGACAGTACAAAAGCTTTTAAAATAGAACTCGCTATTAATACTTTGCATCAGAAATTGTCCCTTTTTACAAAAGAAATCCAGATCAACATTATGAAACTTCATAATGCGATGGAGTTCACAAGCATATTATCTTGAGCAACCTGCCCACAATAATCTAAAAGCGCAAGCTACACACAGGAGCCCACAAATTTTGCAAGCGCTTTGCTTATGTTTACTGAGAGTGGATTGCATTCTGATGTGCTGTGTGTCAATAAGCGTGACACCATAAATTATCAAGTCTTTCTGTTCCCTCTGATCAACATCCAATTTGAGAGACATTTTCCCTTGATAAACTTTCTCCCTGCTGCAATCTATCATTGTGCAATCCATATTAATTCACAATATGTCTAAACTATTGGAATCATATCCCATTTTTAAATGTAGCCTTATTCTTCTTTACTTCAATTTCAGATAAATAACAATAAATGCTTAAAATGTGTACAAAATTTACAAATTTCAAACAACTATAGAAATATACAAATTTTACATCATATAGTTGATTACATCCTAATTATTCAGTTCACAAGTTTCGCATATCCTCACTTTCTGTTTTTCCATATTCAGTACTTACTCATACCTTCATTTCTTCCAATCCTTATTTAAATAAGAAATTATTTTTAATAGTTGGGTTACCATCTTAATTGAAATGATGGAGGGATGTAATAGAACTTAATTTCACCATTGCTGATTTAGACGTTGAGTAGTGAAATCCTTTGCAAGTTTTTAAACCTTATTCCTCCCAGTATGTCTAACACTTCAACCATGCGCTGATAAATGACTCCAACTTTCAGCTTTCCAGTATCCCACAGCCTTAATTCCTTCACCATTCAAGATTCTCAGAATAAATTGATTACTGACAGCCAAATAGATCAACAGAGATTCCAATCTTCTTTGAAAATAATCTCAACATTCCAGGTCTCTTAGTTCATTTTCATCAAGTTGTGAACTGAAACAATTGCAATAAATTATCACAGTACCACATCGCGTTTAAACTAATGTTCTAATGACATAAATCGTGAGTGTTGAAATTCTCACAAACTGCGACAGCAGGAGAATGCACCTGTCATCCTTGGGGGATGGGGCTGGGATATAATTTGCACTGAAGCAAGCTTCACTTTGGTGACTTCTGTGAATTTTCCATAAATTGGTTAAGGATTTCCTTTGTACCAGTTTGCCACTGTAGAACAAGATCTATCGGTGTCTGTGCATTCTGTAATAAGACAGCACCAATTACGAAATGCAACTATTACAATTCAAATGTGTAACAAATAATTATTGAAATGTTGTTGAATTCTCAGAGAAGCACAGAAAATAGGAGCAGGAGTAGGCTATTCAGCCCTGCTGTGCCATTCAATATAATCATGGCTGATCATCCATCTCAGGAACCTATTCCTGCTTTCTCCACATACCATTTTAGACCTCTGGATTTGAGAACTATATATAACTCTCTTTCTTGAAAACATTCAGTGTTTTGGCTTGAACTGCTTCCTGTAACAGAGGAATTCCACCCAGAGGATTACTGCTGTCTGGGTGAAGAAGTTTCTCCTTAGTCTTATATGGTCTGCCTCATTCCTTTAGACTGTGATCCCTGGTTCTGGACTTTCTAGTCATTCAGAATGTCCTTCCTCCATTATCCTGCCTAACCTGTTAAAATTGTATAGTTTTTCATGTATCCCCCTTCATTCTTTTAAACTCCAGTGAATATAGTCCTAATCAATCTAGTCTCCCTTCATGCGTCAATCCTGCCAACCTAGGAAACAGTCTAGTAAGCCTTTTTCACTCCCTCCACACAAGAACATCCTTCCTCAGATAAGGAGACCAAACTGCACACAGTGCTCCAGGTGTGGACTCATCAATGCCCTGTATTACTGCAGCAGACATCCCTGCACCTGTATTCGAATCCTCTTGTTATGAAGGCCATTGTACCATTTGCCTTCTTCCCCACCTGCTGCACCTCCATGCTTTCTTTCAGCAACAGGTGTACAAGTCTTGTTGCACCTCCTCCTTTCTCAATCTATTACCTCTTAAATAATAATCTGCCTTCTTGTTTTTGCTACAAAAGTGGATAACCTCGTATTTATCCACATGACACTTATCTGCTTTTCATTAATCCATACTGACTGGCTGATCTCATCTCGTGGATTTGCTTGTCACCTTTATTCTTAAAACTTCTGTGGTGTTACATTGCAATTAGATAATGTACAAACTAGGAAAGTCTGAAATATTCCACCCTATTTGCCTATTTCTTCTAATTTTAGACCTGATCAACTGGGTCTCGATCCATTTCCTAATCCCTTTCTTGGGTTGACTCCCACTGCCTTTAACTGGTCCCATGTTCTTTGTTTCTTTAATTTCTCATAATTTTCTATTATCTATTGTGAAAATAGAATTAATCATCAAATAATCTCTGCTTTTTCTTTTAAGATGATGATAGGTCAGTCCACTGATAATTCCATTTCCCCGCTCCCCTATTAGTTATGATTCTCTTAAATATTTGTTCAGTTTTAATGAAGGGCTTAATCTGGAAAGATTCAAGTATTTTCTCCAATGCAACTGATTAACATGTTGCATTTCCTGTTTTTCTCTAAAGATTCACTATAGTTTTACTCATTGGTTTTAAAAAAATCAGAAAAAAAGTGTTGATCTAAGAAACTGATCATTGTTTTGCCCTCCAGGCAATTTCTTAATTATACTTGCCTTCCCAGGGACCATTATTGAGTTAATGCTGAGCAGCTATGTTGGGGTTAACACTGCAGAGATGTATAATTCACATAGTTTGAGTGTCTAATTAAAGTGCCGTGCAGTTCAAGAAAGCATATGCTGATTGTAATGCTGGCTACCACAACAATCAGTTGGTAGTACATTTAACACACACTTTATTCAACAGGTTCTTCAAACGTGTTGAACTGAACTTTAAACAGTTTTGATTTGAGAGTAATTTCATTCACATTACCTTTAAATTTATTTTAGGCAACGAAATCTTATGCTATTTTACAGATATTAGATCATTCAAATTTTAGAAATGAACTGCAGTAGATTATATTCATGATTTTGAAGATTCTTGCTGCAAATTTGACATCTTGTACAACTGCTTGTAATGGACCAAACATCTGTCCAAAACTAACATCCTTTCTAAGCATCTATCCCTACCTTCCATTAGAGATCAGTGAAAGAATGTAGTGGATTTATTTTGCTTTCTCACTTAGGAAATCTCACTTACCAGGATTACTTTCCATAAAATAAGCAAAGAAAATGGGAAAATGTAAAATATAAGTATTTTATAATATAAGTGTACACACCATCCTTACTTGGAATTTTATCACCATTCCTACACTGTCACTGGAACAAAATCCTGGAATTCCCTAGCAGCTCTGTTGGTGTACCTTCCCCCATGGACTGTAGCTATTCAAGTTGGCGGCTCACCTCAACGTTCTCAAGGCTAATTAGGGATGAGAAATTAATGTTGGACCAGCCAGTAATGCCCACATCCGTGAACGAATAAGTAAGAAGCTAAAAAGCCTTATAACTAGAGTTTCCAGTTGGTTTAAAATGTTGTCTTAGTCATTATTATTTGTTTGGTTCTTTAAGCTAACCTCTGGTTATCATTTTACTGACTATCTTGATTCAGGTTCTTCAAAACATGTAATAAATTATGCCACTTTATGAAAGAACGTTCAAGGAATCTAATTTCAAAGTCTTTCCATGCTTTAAAGATTGCCAATTGTTGTACTTACACAGTTTTTTAAAGTTGGATTGGCTCCATAAATCATCAAAAGCTTCATCAATCGGTAACGATTCAGTCTGACTGCATCATGCATAGGAGTGTCTCCTTCCTTCAGAAAATACAGTTTGAGAGATAAAGGTCACTATTCAACAAAATCATTTTTGTTTCCACCACTTTTCATCATGTGCAATACAACTTCGTTTAAGAAAATTCTCCCCAAAAACAGGATTAAAAGCCCTAGTGGTGAAACTTCTGTTTCCTCAGGCAAGTGCACTCTCTCTAGGTAAAGGGACACAAGTCAATGCAGCTTTAGCATTTAGAGACAGTAAGAACTGCCGATGCTGGAGTCAGAGATAACACAATGTGGAGCTGAAGGAACACAGCAGGCTAGGCAGCATCGGAAAGGGCCCCGACCCGAAACGTCAGCTTTCCGACACCTGCTAATGCTGCCTGGCCTGCTGTGTTCCTTCAGCTCCACACTATCTTATCGCAGTTTAAGCATTGTTCGCCAAAGCCAAAGCTTATTGAGTCAGTCAATGCTGTATATGTACTTCGCTGTCGCTATGTAATAAGCAGAATACAGAAACAGTAACCGATTTTAAATGGTTGCTTGCTGAAACAATTGCAAACTCCGGTAATGAAATATATAACGCGTTGATTTTCACTCTTTAGTCTCCAGGTTGACCACAAGCCCTGCCATAAGTACCCTTTGACTTGGAGTAAACCAGCCTGCCCTTCTAAGTTCTTGGTGCCCAATACCACTATTGACTTGGTAGAAGTATTCACTTGCTACGGATAGAGTAGCAGTGGAGTGGAAGGAGGTGAGAAAAATCGACTGTCAATTGTGACACACAATACCCAGAACACAAATCAAAGGCTTCCACCCAATAGTACCTAATGCTGGCCGTGAATGGTAATACACTTTTCTCATTGGCGCCAGAATGGTGCTCATAGCCTTACTCAGACCCTCTGACATGCAGAAGGTGCATATTAAGCCTATGTTCTAGGAACGCTCCTACCTTTGCGTCTCCGCCTGTACTTTGATCAATTAAGCATACCATGTTGTAAAGATGGCAGGAGAACATAGCAGGCTTCCAATTCCCATTGTTAGGTAATTCAAGTAGAGGGCATTATTATTCCTGTGCCTGATATCCCAAAGCCTGTAAGGGAGCTATTTTCAGATCATTGTAGATAGTGTGCTAACTTTACTGCTTTTCACGAAAGGGGACGAACGCAGGTCCTGACCCTGGTGATCTGCGGCTCCCGTCGCTCGGAGGTAGCCAATTAAGAGGCCGTGCAGCCTTTAGGAGTTCAACAGCCCGGGAGGAAGGTTCGGCTGCTCAGGCAGGAAGGAGATTCCAATGGACGGGCTGTGTGTGCGACCTTTCCGCTGAGCTCGATACTCTGTGTCAGCCCCGTCCAACACAAAGATACCAGCGGACATCCAACAGCTGTTTACTTGCTACTGCGACTTTCAGCGCTCACTCTTCTCTAGCGGGAACGTGTCGGACCATTGATCCGCTATTAACCTTTCCTGGTCCCGCCACTAAACCCACCTCCGCACTCTCATACTCCGCTGTTAAACATCATCTTTTCAACGAGTACCACCCTACTGTCGGAAATCAAAACAAACTTCCTTCTACTCGGCCCCGACTTTTGACTTTAACCTAAACTCAAACACCATCTGTTAGCTGGATGGCATTCCATTTTCCACATAAGTTTTCCATATTTCTTGGGATATGGACCTCGCTGGTATGGCCTTATTGTCCATCCACTTTGTCCTGAGGTGTGGTGGACTTTCTTTTAGAATCATGACAGAACTAAGTGAGTAGACGGGGTCGCTACAGATAGCAAATAAGGGTCAGCCTTAGCTGTGTGATGAGTCTCGTTTAGGTCTAACGCGGTAGGGATGGAAAATTTGCTTCACGAAAGGGCATTATTGAAACAGATGGGCTGTTGGCACAATTTAACAGCTCATGGTCAGCTGTGATGTTGAATTCTAAATCGTTTTATGTTGTCTTTCTACCCTTATTAGGAATAGGGTTCAAATGTTCCATTGCATTTCATATTCCAGAAAGTATAGTTCCACATTAAACAACTGTTAAATAGCTATCTTGCACATCTCAAATCAAATTTGAATCTCGATGTCAGTGATCTGGTATGCTATAACCTTTGATACCACTCAAGTCATCCAGTGTAGCCTATATGTAGTTGAAGAATTAAAACGATGTGGTACAATCTTATGCTTTACCACTCTCTTTTACAGAAGATATAAGTCCAATATAACAGATAGGTAAGATTAAATAGAACGAATTCTATGTGCATGAATTAATACATACTATATCTCTGGCATTCAGATCAGCACCACATGCGATAAGATGTTCAGCGCATTCGTAATGCCCAGTTCGGACAGCAACGTGTAAAGGAGTGCTACATAGCTGCATTAAACAAAAAAAAACAAAAAACAGTTATTGACACATTCGCTATCGCAAGTGAATCTTAGCTATGATATTTGATTCTATAGGTAGCTGCTTACCTTGTCTTTGGCGTTTACGTTTGCATCATTGTTTAACAAGGTTTTCAGCACTTCCAGGCTACCACCACGACAGGACCAGTGGACCGCTGTGGCGTTGAGCTGTGCATGAAGCAAGTTAATGTCACTGTTAGTAGAGAATCTTTCACGAGTAGTGTGGATTAAAGTGGCATGAAAAAAAGGTCTAATCGCGTGATGAGATGGCATAAATCATGTCAAATATAGTACTACGCCATGCCTGTTCCTTTTGTCATTTGATCATTCTCAAACTAGATCATAGAAATACAGGAAAAAGACTCAGCCATTGAACCCCTTGACTCTGCTCTGACATTGAATAAAATCGCTATCTTTGTCTGTAATATCAGTTGACTGACAAAACTCGGTTGATTTCACATTAGATATACAACTAAATGACCTAGGACGAATTGCTGTTAGCAATGTCCTTTAGTCCCAGACTCCTGAACCAATATAATAGTAATTACCACATTAGTTCCCTTAAGTATCTTTAAAACTTTCATAAAATCACACTTTTATCTACATTCCAGGGAATACAATCCGCGTTTATGTTCTCTTGTAATTGAATTCAGATTATTGGAAGACACCTTTTGTGCAGCCCTTGTAAGCAATGATTCTAGTTAACATCCCGTTGGTGCACATGACTTTTCATTACTGATTTCACCCTGCGCTACTGCGTAGATAATACATGGTAAAGGATCAGTACCATATCTCGAAATTCAGTGGAGGCTCCGGCTTCTAGTAGTTTCAATACAACCTCCTCGTTCCCCTCAGAGCAAGCCCGGTGCATGGCAGTCCTGTTAAACTGTTTAAATATGAAAAAGAATTGTTTGGTTTCATTTCATCAGCCAGAATTACAAAACAAAAACATGTTAATAATGTTGGATTGGCTTTTCTTTTTACCTGGTCGCATACATCTGGTTGTCCCCCGTCAGCCAGGTATTTCTCAATCACAGCGAGATTATTGTCCACCGCCGCATTCCAAAAGGTCTCCACATCTACGGGTCCGATCTGGGCCAAACACAAGAAGAAGAGGGTTAGATTCTTCCTTTCAGAAGACCAGCTCGATTTCTTTGCGCTCTTACTTTTGTGACCGCTGCCTTGAACTTACAATAGTGTCGGGTTCCTGCTGCGGTGGGGCTTCCACAGCAACGGCCTTGGGATGCTTGTGTCTCTTCAAGCTGACGAGGAAATGGAGATCATCTATCGTTTCAAGTTTCAGCCTCTGCGCAGCAGGCTTGACCTAAACACACAAGAGCGACAATGGTTAGTGACAGCGGGCACACACCATCAGTGGATCATCATCAGGAGGGGAGAGCTACAGGAATTGTCATTCGGACGGTCAATTGCTGGTCCTATACTGATGATTTAATACATTCACACGTACATTTTTGCAGTGTGGCACCGGCTGCAGTTTCTCCTTCTGGTGCTTGTGGCTGGGTATGAACGGGAAAAGCGCCGTTTGGCTTTTCAGGCCGTCCTGTTTCTCGATCGCCATCGCAGAGCAATATTCTCCGCTGCCGAACTCTTCCTGCATCGTTGGCGGCTCGGCCTCCCATCCTCCGGATTTCACCTCACTCTGCTTGCCTGTCACCTGGCGGCAAAGAGAAGAGCAATGACTTTCGGCTGGAGAGAGCAGGCCCGGCCCTCGGAAACCCAGTTCACTGCAGCAGCTCAGTCCGCTGTCCCTGAGCTTATCCAACAGAAATAACTCGTAACCATTTTCTCCGCTTGCCCCACTTCGGGTTTAGGAAGAAGGGCTGTTAACTTGGATTGAATTACAGGTAACATCCCAGCTCAGTTAAACAGGTCCATCCGAAATATATATTTAAACAGCGAACTTCATGTCTGTATTCACAGCTCCCCCAGTACAAACGCTCCACAAAATTGAGCAGTTTTGATTTAATTATGCAGCTTCCCAACTAGTGGAACACCATGGGTACTACGGTAGTTTAAATGCAAAAAACCTCCTGATTCATTGTATACCCAACCCTAACGATAAAGAACTGACTAAGCGTACATGCTGTGCTTTATTCTGTGACTTATCATGGCAATTCTATTTAATCACAATTTATTACATTGTTAACAGATTCACTTGTCTTGTAAAACATTTGGTAGCGATGAATACAGTAGCCGCAGGAGTAATAAAGTGCAAACCCACCAGATTCTCGTATTAAATATTGTTTCTTTTTGTAACATGATTCTGTTAGATGGCAATTCACAATCAGGTGACAATAAAGACAAAATATCTGTAAAACTCCAGTACTGGATGTTTATCACTAGTAGAGACATGTACTTAAACAATAATTTGGTGTCAAAAAGTTCCTACCAGATCTTCAACTCGCAGCATCACCATGTTGCCAGGTGGTTCTTGTGGAGTAAAGCTCCTTTTGAGTTTTGCGGAGTTTCCTCAGCGAACAACTGCGAACTCCTGATGAGAGACTCCCAGCCTACCCCCCTTATATATAAAATGGGCGCCTCTGGGTGAGGTCATGTTCCAAGCTGGGAGCTTCAGCCAGAGTTCAACGAGAGCCAGCGCTTCCTTGTCATTCCTGGCATAGTAAGAGGCGTGATCTCATGTCACAAGACCTTTTTAACTAGGGATGAAAGGCGCCTTTAACACAGACAAAACTGCATATATTAAGCATCTGAAATGTAATCCTTGTGTTATTAGAACTGACTAAAGGAACAAACTATGCTAATCATGTTGCCACCTCATGTTTTGCGTGACAGCTGTCTTGCTGAATTCCAGAAATTCCTTTTACCGGCCGAGCAGATCCTAGAAACAAGGGCGCGTAAAATGGATGCATGTTCCTACTATCTCTCATGTTGCAATTCACCTTGACTCAGAGTCAGGGCTCAAACACAACATGGACTGCCTCCGAGTTTCCGTTACATCATTTTAATACGTCTCCCTGCTCGGAAGAACGATTTGTCACCGATACAAAAATATGTATATTTCAAACCAGATGAGCAGCTTATTGGTCAGATGGACATTTCTGCATCTGAATTCAGCCCGCCAGGCTGGGATCACTGTCCCGGCTGTGCTTCCTGACGGTGATGCAGTCACAGACAGTGGTGTCATCTTTTTCGGAAATACTGCCCTTCAAGGTAAGAGGATCGCTCTCTACATGGAGAGACGGGCGGTGTAATGAGATGCCCCATGGGGTTTATTGAAAGGAAAGTAAACAACATCCCAGTGCAGCGGGTCAGTGGCCAGTAGGAACTTTCCAAACGGTTTTTGCACTGACATCTGTCTCTCTCTATCGCCACACGTGCTGTTAGTCCTGCTTAAGCGTTTGCTGCGTTTTATTTCCTTATATTTCAGATTTCCAACATCCACATTATGTAGCTTTTGCCTGTCATTTCCTCCCTGCATCGCTCATTAATGAAAGCTAGGATCGTATCCCAGCTTCTATACGCTGCAATAAATGCTGTTTCTATGTTTCCTACCTTCACTCCCCACCATCACACCCCCCTTCCCCAACCCATATTCACTGGTTTAATTATTTTACTGTTCTGAGGATATACTGAATTACTGTGACTTCCTTTCGACAGAATTCCATGAAAAGGAACCAATTCCCGATAATTTGGATAAACGTGGAGCTGCTGAGGGACATGCGGCTTCAGGGAACATTGGTCACTCTGTGGAACCCTTAAAACGTTAATTTGAGATGGTCCACTCAGTCTTGGCTTTGTGCAGTTTGTTGCGTAGGGCCAATGGAGTGAGTGGGACTGTGTGAATTACACGCTACTGATATCTGTAGCCGTAATGACACAACCACAAGCCGACAACGAAAACACAGATGTAATACAAATACACAAACTGTCAGGGTTTATAATTGATTTCAAATCAGATAAACAGACGAAAAACTGCATCGGTGGTTGCATGGCTGATATGAAATCCGAGTTGACGGTCTAATAATATTTACTTTGATTACGTAAGCGCGATATTATTTATGGTATAATTTAACACGTGTATTTATGTTTGTCTTTTCAGAATGTGATCCGCTCGGAGCAAGTGCGTGTCCCTTTGTGGATTTGACTGGAATGTAGCGTCTAAAAGACCAAATAGAAATAAACAACAGTTCAGGAAAAGAACCCCTCGGCCTCAGCTGTTTTATTTGCACTAAGAATAACACTTGCCAGCCTTGCTGTAGTTCCCACTACTGTACTGTCACTAAAACAATGCCCTGCCTTTTTGAAGTTAAAAGGGGATGTCTGTGTCATACATTAATGTTGACAGCGCAGGTTTTCCTTCAACATTCTGGAGAAAGCATTTATGACCATGTTTAGAACATTTACCAACACATGCTATTTCCCACAATGTTTGTGAGGGTACAGCATTTGAAACGTACTGTGCGGAAAACTAACAGGGAAATGATTCTAATACCTTTACTCTTTGAAGTTCTTATATAAGTAGGCGATGAATGGGTAGGACCTGTGTTCATTTTAGAAGAATGAGAGGCAACCTTATTGAAACATTCAAAATTCAAGTTGTAAAGATTGTTTCCATTTGTGGGAGAGTCTATGGCCAGAGGGCATGCTCAAAGAGTAAGGGGTGTCCATTTAAGACTAGATGAGGATTTTTCTCTCTCTCTCAGAAGGTAGTGGATTTGCTGAATGCTTTACTACAGATGCCTGTAGATGTTGGGTCATTAACTATGTTCAAAGCTAAGATGGACAGATTTTTAATCATTAAGGGAATTATGGGGATAAGGCAGGAAAGTGGAGTTGAGGATTATCAGATCAGTTCAGCCATAATCTCCTTGAACACTGGATCAAAGTCAATGGGCTGAATGGCCTACTTCTGCCACTATCTAATGGTCTGTAACTCAGGGAGTGAAGGTAAAGAGTAATTTCTAGTGCAAATTGTACTGGAAGAGATGTAAAACATCTGTATATTCAACAATGAAGAACTACATGAAGGTGCAATGTTTCCATGATAACCTTCCAAACTGTCAGCTATCAATTTGCAACCATATTTAAGCCATCCACATGTATTAATTGAAAAAAAACCAAACTAGTATAAACTATGTAAATGCAAAGCAACTAATTGTAATAGACCGATTTACAAATTTTGCAGTGATTATGGAGATTTATCCAACATTTCATAGAATTATATTAAGTTACAGCACTGAAGCGAATTATTTCACTCAACTACTCTAAGCTGGTGCTTTTGCTTCACTTGCCCTACTTCATCTAATGCTGTTCTAATCTTTTCACCCTCATTGATGCAACTAGCCTACCTTTAAAAGTATTTATGCTATTTGCCACAATGAATCCATTTGGTACGATGTTTCACATTCCAAGCAATATCTGTGTAAAGAAGTTTCTACTGAGTTCTTTATGGGATTTATTAGTGACCACCATATAATTATTTCTATTTCACAATTTTGGAAGTGACATGTTGATGTTCTTTATTGGTCCGATCCAATTAACCCATACATGTTAACAATATGTCAGTAAGGTCGCAATTCAGTTTCGTGTGATATAAAGCATGCTGCAGACACTCAAACTCAAAATTCAGGCTTGTTTGGTTTCAAATGAAATGAGAAATTGTCAGTCCACAGTCACCCGGGAAGAGTTAATATCCTAGCTAAGTCAGGATATGAAGAAGATTGTGATTGCATTGGAAGAAGCAGTATTTTCACCAGTGGTGGGAAGTTGTTCTAATGCATTTCACTAGGCCAGAATTTTGTCAACTAGGTGACATTGCAGTTGGAACTGTGGGTCACTTCCATTTTCTCTCTTTTTGTCCTTACCCACATGAACATAATTAATGTTCTAATTTCCACATACAAGGTTCCACAGTGGGGTAAGGTTTCATCCATGAAAGCTGTGGCCAGCCAACAATACTGCATCTACAAATGGTTTATTAAAGAGGCTCCCGATCAAACAGGGAAGCTCTGGTTCATGATTACAAATTTCCTGTTTGTGTCCGCTGCCATGAATATGTATGCTTTGGGAACACAAATGGCATGAATATTTTTTTCAAATTTAAATTTCCCTTGTAAATACTTCACATTATATTGATTTCACCATACTGACGTGTGCCTCGTTGTTTTCTGTTGAGACTGGCTTAGTCAGAAAGCTAAATGTACTCACAAGCCTCATGGTTGGCTTAGATTAATGCTTACAGAGAATTAGAGACATTTCCTTTACTGTGGAAGAATCATGACACAAATATTTAATAGAGTCATAGAGTCATACAGCACTGAAACAGGTCCTTCAGCCCAACCAGGTTTCCTAAACTGAACCATGCCCATTTTCCTGCATTTGGCCCGTATCTCTCTAAAATTTTCCTATACAAGTACCTATCCAAATTTCTTTTTAATGTTGTGCCTCTACCACTTCCTCTGGCAGCTCGTTCCCTATACACACTACACTCTGCATGAAAAAGTTGCTCCTCGAGTCTCTTTTAAATCTTTCTCTTCTCACCTTAAACCTATGCCCTCTAGTTTTGGACTCCCCTACCCTGTGGAAAAGACCTTGGCTATTCATCCTATCCATGCCCATCATGACTTCATAAACCTCTATAAGGTCATCCATCAGTAGCCTATGCTCAGGGAAAAATGTCCCAGCCTATATTATGCTGCAGCTCTATAAAACCCTGGTTAGACCACACTTGGAATATTGTGTTCAATTCTGGTCGCCTCATTTTAGGAAGGATGTGGAAGCTTCAGAGAGGATTCAGAGGAGATTTACCAGGACGCTGCCTGGACTGGAGGGCAGGTCTTATGAGGAAGGGTTGAGGGAGCTAGGGCTTTTTTCATTGGAGCGAAGAAGGATGAAAGGTGACTTGATAGAGATGTACAAGATAATGAGAGGCATAGATAGAGTGGATAGCCAGAGACTTTTTCCCAGGGCAGAAATGACTATTACGAGGGGGCATAACTTTAAGGTTATTGGAGGAAGGTATAGGGGAGATGTCAGAGGTAAGTTCTTTACACAGAGAGTGGTGGGTGCGTGGAATGCACTGCCAGCAGTGGTAGTGGAGTCAGATACATTAGGGACATTTAAGCGACTCTTGGATAGGCACATGGATGATAGTATAACGTAGGGTATGCAGGGTAGTTTGATCTTAGTAGGATAATAGGCCAACACAACGTCGTGGGCCGAAGGGCCTGTACTGTGCTGTACTGTTCTATGTTCTATGTTCTATCCAGCCTCTCTTTATAACTCAAACCTGCCTGTCTTGGTAGCATCCTTGTAAATATGTTTTGCACCTTTTCCAGTTTAATAACATCCTTCCTATAGCAGGGTGACCAGAATTACATGCCATACGCTAAATGCGGCCTTATCAATGTCTTGGACCGCCATGGCATTCCCAACTCCTGTATTCAATGCTCTGACAGATGAAGGCAAGTGTGCCAAACAGTTTCTTTACCACTCTGTCTACCTGTGACACCACTTTCAAGGAACTATGCAACTGCACTCCTAGGTCTCTTTGTTCCCCAGGGACCCACCATTATCTGTATACTTCCTGCCCTGATTTGCCTTACCAAATTTCAACACCTCACATTTATCTAAATTAAACTACATCTGCCACTCCTCGGTCCATTGGCCCATCTGATCCAGGTCCCATTGACCTCTGAGTTAATCTTCACTGTCCACTACGCTAATTTTGGTGTCATCTGCAAACTTACTAACCATACCTCCTATATTCACATCTAAATCATTTATATAAATGACAAAAAGCAATGGACCCAGCACCAATCTTTATAGCACAGTGCTTGTCACAGGTATCCAGTCCAAAAAAATCTTACCATCACCACCTTCTGTATCCTACCTTCAAGCAAATCTTGTATCCTGTTGGCTAACTCCTCCTGGATTCCATGTCATCTAACCTTGCTAACCAGTCTACCATGCAGAACCTGCTTGGACGCCTTGCTAAATTTGATATAGACAATGTCTACTGCTTGACCTTCATCAATCTTCTTTGTCAACTCTTCAAAAAACTCAATCAAGTTAGTGAGACACAATATCTCACACACAAAACCATGCTGACTATCTCTAATGAGTCCTTGCCTTTCCAAATGCGTGTCAGTCCTGTCCCTCAGAATCTCCTCCAACAACTTACCAATCATTGATGTAAGGCTCACTGGCCTATAGTTCACTGGCTTTTTCTTAATCAGGTCATGGGGATGTATCCACCTTTATGTGTTTTGAAACCTCCAGCACTTCCTCCTTTATAATATGGACATTTTTCAAGACATCACTATTTATTTTCCCAAGTTCCCTAGCTCCCATATTCTTCTCCACACTAAATACTAATGCCAAATATTTGTTTGGTATTCCACCCATCTCCTGTGGTTCCACACATTGTTGATCTTTTAGGGGCCCTATTTTTGCCCTAGTTACTTTTCTGCCCTTAATATATTTGCAGAATCACTTTGGATTCACATTAACCCTATTTGCCAAAGCTACCTATTATCCCCTTTTTGCCCTTCCGATATCTCTCTTCTATATACTCCTACTGCCCTTATACTCCTCTAGCGATTCACTCGATCCCAGTTGTCTACACCTAACATATATTTCCTTCTTTTTCTTGACAGATTGTTAATGGACGTTCCCTGAACTGGGAATGGTTTGTAATGAAGCTACATCTGGATCTCTGTTGGATCCTTGCTTTTCCTGATTATATTAATGATCTGGATCTAGGTGTACAAGGGCAATTTCAAAGTCTGCAGATGGCATGCAATCTGGAAGAATTGAGGAAAACAGTGTAGAACTTCAAGAATAAATTGACAAGTTGGTGGAGTTGATGTGGCCTGGTTCATGTCACAAAGGCTTCTGTTGTGCTCTGTCTCTCTCTCTCTCTCTCTCTTTCTCTCTCCATCTCACTCTCCCTCTCTCTCTCTCTCTCTCTGTCCGTCTCTCTTAGTCTTTCTCACTACTGTGCTGCCCTATCTCTCTCTCTGGTTTCAACTGTCTTTTTCTATGTAACTCTGCGACTCTGCCTGTGTCTTTCTTTCTGTCTTTTTCTCTGTCTCACTTTATCCCTGCTTCTCTCTCTTTCTCTCTCTCTGTCAGTCTCTCTTTCTCTCTCTTTCCCTCTATCTGTAGCTCTCTCTCCCTCTTGTCTCTCTCCCTGT